ATAAATTTGAATGGCTCATCATGGACCTAACCATGTCCATTAGAGCTCTATTTCTTCTTTCAACTACACCATTTTATTGTGGTGTATATAGCATAGTTGTTTGGTGAATTATACCATGCTCCTTACAAAATTCAGAAAATAAAGCGGAGCAATATTCATCTCCCCAATCTGTTCGAAGAATTTTAATATGTCTACCTAACTGATTTTCTACCTCAACTTTATATTTTTTAAATGTTTCTAATACATCTGATTTCTTACTAATTAGGTATACATATCCATAACGTGAATAATCGTCTATAAATGTTATAAAATATTATATACCTCTGTGTTTTCATATTTAATGGGCCACATATATCAGAGTGAACAATATTAAGTAGTTCACTAGACCTTTTCCCTTTAAGGAAAGACTTCTTAGTTAATTTACCAGAAATACATGGCTTGCATTTTTTGAACACAATTTCTCCTAAATTGGGGAGCAAGCCTCTTTTAACCATTTGATTCATTTTGTCTTTATTTATATGTCATAATCGTAAGTGCCATAAATATAGATTATCCATACACATTAAAGCATCAAAAGAAGCATCAATATAACCAGAAAATGATTAATTTTCATTAATATTCAGTCGGTACAAATTGTCAACTTTAGTACTGTTCACCAAAGCTCTAGAATGCTTTCCAATGGTAACTCGACCAGACCTGAACTTTATTTCATAACCCTTGTCGTCTAGCCTTAGGACATAAATCAAATTGCGCCTCATATTGGGCGCATACATTGTATCAGTCAATACGAGATTTGTTCTTCTTGGTAAACATGCTTGAACGTACCAACACCTAGTACATCCAGTAAGTATCATTTCCCATATAAATCCATTGGTTACTGGCTGCAATCTCTTTCAATTATGTGAATCCATTCTTGGTCCTCGAGACATGTCGAGTGGAGGCTGAGTCGACCCACCAATTTCTCAGGTCATGATCAGCAACTATCGATTCTAGGACTACATAGATCAAGTCCTTTATCTTACTTTGATTATTTCAAACAGGGTTGTTATTTTGGTTCCTATTTTTATTTTTCAGCTTAGGATAATTAAACTTGATGTGCCCAATTTCCTATAATAAAAACATGTCTTCTCAACCTTATTCTTTTGATTTTTAAAATTTATCTTCATTCTCTTATACCTAGTATTTTTCTGATAATTGAGAGTCTTCATGAGGATCTGTGAAGATGAACTTTGGGTAAAGTGGAGCTCATTTGACTTCTTCCTCATTCTTCTCTCAGCTTCAATACGAAGATGCATGAGAAGATTTAACATGGTTATCCTTTGTGCAGAATGGTTCAATGCAATTTCAACAGACTCCCAAGATGGAGTGAGACTGTTAAGGACAATGGACACTTGCATGTGATCGGGGACTAGATTCTCAGCTGCAGCAAGGACTTTTACGAGCACTGACATTTTGTTGACATGCTCGGTCACTGAGTCCGTTTCTTTCATTCTGCAAGAATTGTATTTTTCTAACAACAATTGTATACGGGTCTCAGAAGTGGTCCCATATAGGGCATCTATCATACTTTGAGCTGGGGTGTAGTCATCAAAGACTCAAATTAAATCATCTTCCATAAAGCTCAACATAGTAGTCCTAGCTACTTTGTCATCTTCTAACCATTTTTCAAGTCTTCTTCTGGCTTGACCATTGACATTAGGCTCTAAAATTGGTGGTTCTGTTTCTAAGACATAATCTATCCTATCTTGAAAAAGAATATATCTAAGTTTTCTTTTCCACATAGAAAAATTGGTCTCATTGAGTTTTTCAAGTTTGGATAATTCTGACATGACTAGCCTAGATGCCATTTTAAATTTTTAGATATTACCTAAAAATTCAAAAAACAAATTTAATTGTGTTTAAGAAAAGGTTGTCCGCTAGCTAAATCAATAAGTTTGCCGACTCTCAGTGAGCTGCAACTTCAAAGAAAAATTTTCTCGAACAGTTTATGTTCGCACTGCTGTGATGCAACAAAAACTTAATAAAGTAAGGCCACAACTACTTTTATGTTAAATCTTGCATAAGAATAATTTTCATAAATATGAGAATATGTCTTAGCACAAGATAGAGACTCTACAATGATATTTGATATTTTTCAACAAAAAATATGGTATTGCATAGTCACAAAAAAAAAAGAAGGAAAATTCACAAAATCAAGATCATGAATTTTTCTAGCTTAAAGAGACTAAAGCATAGGATAATTATGCAATGCAGTGACAATTATTATGCAAATAAAATATGTCAAAAATCCCTAAATTATTGGTCACAAAAAAATATAAATAAAACATAAAATAAATATATGCAATTGATATGTAAGCCTTTACTCCAATAGAAATGAGGCGTGTATAATAAGATTCAATAATAATAATAATATGCACTAATTTTCAGCAACAAAAAGATGGAAGAAAGAAGATGTCAGCCGCCTGATTTTCAGGCGTCCATGGTCAGTAAAAAAAGTTTATAACAATATGTAAATTTAGATGCTCATCTACCTTGCATAGAGTAGAAGAAATTTTTTTTTTATTTTTTATTATAGTATTTACAAATTACTATTGTTACTATTATTAATTTTATTAGAAAATAGAGAGAATAATTATTTGCTTTATTTTCTGTTACTTGACCGTGGGCTCAAGTATGTATTGTATCAGCAACTTGATCTGAGAGAAAAATAACTACACAACTTGTTACTTAAGGGAGAGAGCCTAATATTGAGGCATAGAGAAAAACTAATATTGAGGCATATGCTAAGTTAAGATAACTCTTCTGCAAGAACCTTAAACTTATTTTCTCTCTCTTCTTATTATTTTGATGATTACTCTAGTGTCTCTATCCCTTTAACTTTTTTCTACAAAAGATTAAATAACTTATTTTCTCTCTCTTCCTATTCTTTTGATGATTCTTCTAGTGTCTCTATCCCTTTAACTTTTTTCTACAAAAGATTAAACAGAGGACTCATCTGAGTACGCTATGATCACATAAGTCAAACGCAATCTAGAGAGAGAAAATATGGCAAAAGAATTTACGGAGAGAAAATATTTCAGAACCAAGAATACCAGTAGAAACAAATACTGAATCTTCAAATGAAGAGCAATAAATTAAGAGAGAAAAATTTATAAAAAATAAATAAATTCATACTATTAAATTTAAGGCTAGAAAAAAAATTTACAGCAAGATATACGTAAATGACAAAGCACAATATCAAAGTTACTGTAAATTAAACTCAGAAAAAAAAAAAAAAATAAAATACCAAAAAATTGGGACCAGTAGGTTATGAGTCCACCACGCTTCTACAACCTGCTCTGATATCAATGTTGAAAAAAAAACTTGAAGGAAAAGATGGACCCACTCCTAGGATTAAAGGCAGTGTCTTTAGACTATCGATCGCAAAGATCAGGCTTTTAGCAGAATTGTAAGAACTCTATAAATTTGTGTGTACCTCTCCATGGCCATGAAACCCTTTTTAAAGAAAGATGGAGGAAGCCGTTCTCCAAGGGATGGAGGAGGCCGTTCTCCAACGTTCGGCTTCTTCTTGAAATCTAGGTGGTTGCTTTCTAGCCATTAAATAACAATATTTTCTCTCTAAAAAGCTTCATGTTTTTAATGATAAGCATTAAATTATAAGAGAGAGAAATATTGCATGTTTAAAGGCCACATGACAACACACACCTACCAACAGGGTCTGGTATTTATGCAACGGGGACATAGTTGTTGGAGTTCATTTTCTAACACATCCACCATTTATTTATAGTTAGTTGTAGAGATCGTGCTCAAAAATCAAGATTTAAATGTGATCTCCACTGTTCATTATAAATTGATGATAAATGTATCAGGGATGCGATGTCATAACTGCATTCTTTGACATACCAACCACTTTTCCTATATAATACTTACCGAAGTTCCTTTGCCATTATGACCTTGAGAGCAATGACAGGCAATACCTCAACTGATCACACTGCCTACATTAACCGTGAGCACTACCTGAATAACTAACACTGAGATTTTTTACTTTTAGCAAGTAACTTCTATATTTTACACCCAAAGTAATTCAACGCTGAATTGTGAGGGGATCAAGTTGTGATTGACTCAATCTGACTTGGCAATTCCTGAGTTAGATCAGTGTATAGACTCAGCAGAGAAATATATTCGTGGGAATCAAGCGATTCCTTGGTTCCCTAGAACCAGATCATCCCCCTTCTAGTTTCAGGTGATTCCAGTTCAAAATGGTGATTTTTAAAATCTAAATACGCCAAATAACGATACCATTCCGAGTTATTCACCGCATACTGACTGCATGGTGAACATGTCCCAAGCCCATCATGTAAAGAGATAATTGACAAGTACAAACTCCAAAACAAAAGGGAAAAGGAGAAAACTGGATTATGTAGTACTTTTAAGTAGGGACAGCCTTGGTCTTCCATAGTAACGGCTGTGTACTTGGATATAAATGAAGAAAGTCATTAAGGGGTCAAAAGATCACAGGTAACTATAGAGGATTTATCTTCCAATTTTTATTTCTACGTACTTCTTTGAACACTGAATTATTGTTATTCAGGGTTTGAAACCCTAAACAAGTAGGAGTATTTCAATAATTTAACTAACTTAAGAGGCCCCACCAAACGATGAGAGTACCTCTGCTTATCCAAAGTGGTACAAATTTTCCAAATACCTTTACTTACTCAGGGTTCTCAACTCTGAGTAAGGTCAGTTTAGCAAGTTTGAGAAATCTTTTGGAGGGTACCTGAAATGAAATTTAAGAGGCAACCCTCTACTGTCAGTTCGTGATATGACTGTCATGATTTTGTAAGGCATCAGACCCACTTGAATGATATTTCAATTTTCACCATGAACTAAAAAACAGGTTCATCATTGTCATATTCACATTTGACAGGTGGTGATTTTGTAATTGCTACTTATATACTTGCATCATGTGCCTAAGCTCTGTGTAACTGGAATTTAAAATCACCCAACAAGACAAAATAGATAATTGAAAATAATTGAATCTACTTTGAGAGAGAGAGATTAAAAGGTCAAGCATCTAATTTCCTTCGGTATTCCATATTTTCCATTGCTGCATTGTTTCTTCCACTTGCAGTTGCAGATGGAAGAAGAAAATGGTCTGAAACTCGCTTTAATTTCAGTTCAAGAAAATGGAGATCCGAGAAACAGGGACTGTGGAAGTGGTGAGAGAAAAAAAATCGACGAGATAAAGACTCAGATCGCATTGGCTGGGCCACTGATAGCAGTGAATCTGTTCCAGCAGAGTCTGTGTGTGATCTCACTCATGTTCGTGGGGCATTTGGGTGAACTTTCACTCTCTGGAGCTTCATTGGCCACTTCTTTTGCCAATGCCACAGGCTTCAGCTTGCTGGTAAGTGAGCACTCTTCCCATTTACTTATGTCTTGGCCCTCTGTTTCTTCTTTTTTTCTAAAAGCTCAGGTTACAATTTGATCAAATATCACGTGGAGGCTGGATCAAATATCTATATATTTAAATATATTTCATAAATTTGATAAACATATGCATGCATTATTTAATGGAAAAAGTTCATAAGGTTGCAACCTCAAAATGTAGAATTACAGATGCACCTCAAAAATCCATCAGAAAAGGATGTTTTAATGTTAGAAAACCTTCTAATTGATCATTTCGATATCGAGATGTATGAATATGAAAAAGAAACTGATTTTGTCTCAGAAATAGTGCATCTTGAAACACATCATCTAGACCGTCCATTTTCAAGATTTTCATATGTTTATAAATCTACTTGATTCTAACTATTTTTGGAGTTTAAAATTTTATAGTTAGAGATGAAAATATATTTTCAGGTAATCCTAGCAAATTGTTTACACCAAAAATACATGTTATGATAAAATTTGGAGGTGCGCATTGATTGGATTGTTCAAAGTTGCAACCTTAAGGAAACCAAACCCTTATTTAAATATTATAACTAAAATATATAATTATACTCATTTAAGTGTATATTTAAATATTATATACTAAATATTATTTAAATATCAACACTTTTCTGGGTCAGGTCTACATGAACCGAACCCAAAATAGTGTTCGGGTCCAAGATTTGGACCTGGACCAATTTTTGGACCCATACCTGGACCTGGGTAGGGTCTACTCATCAGGTCCTGGGTCGAGTCCAGCTCCAATGCCACTCCTAACTCAGACTCACCCGAGCAGGGCTTATGTCCCGAGCCTGAACCTTGACTATCACTGATAACATCCATTTTTCCTCATCTTATTTGTCAAGTAACAAAAGCACTTTTTAGTCTTTCTGTTCTGATGTAGAAAAATGGAATTCGATCTTCTCTATTGGTTTAGACCTTAAAAATCAGCTATCTCTGGTAACATCCACTTTATACTAGAATTTGAGACTCAACCATCTCTGATAATTTCCATTTTTCCCCTTTTAAGGGGAAGTTTCAAATAAAAAATGGTAGCTTCTAAGTTGGCATTTGTGTAATTGACATCTCTCTCTCAGTCGGGCATGGGAAGTACACTGGAGACATTGTGTGGGCAGGCTTATGGCGCAAAACAGTACCATATGCTTGGGATATATATGCAGAGAGCCCTTCTTGTGCTTTCTCTCTTCTGTGTCCCACTTACTTTCATTTGGGCCTCAACAACGACAGTCCTCAAAGCCATGGGGCAAGACATAGAGATATCAGAGGAAGCTGGAAGTTTCATCAAGTGGATGATCCCAAGCCTCTTTGCCAATGCGGTGCTTCTAATTCATTCTCGATTCCTTCAGACCCAAAACATCGTTCTTCCGATGATGATAACTGCTGGTTTCACAGCTCTGTCGCACATTATTACTTGTTGGGCTCTTGTTTTCAAGTGCGGTTTGGGAAGTAAAGGTGCTGCTATGGCGATTTCCATATCTTACTATGTAAATGCAATCCTTTTGGTTCTGTATGTCAAGTTCTCACCAGCTTGTAAGATGACATGGTCTGGTTTTTCGAAGGAGAGTTTTCATGACCTTTCTGGCTTTTTGAGGTTGGGGATCCCTTCAGCGGCAATGATCTGGTATTGGGCTTCTCTGTTCCTACTTTCTATTTAAGTAGCATTTTTTGTTATTACTTCTCTTCCTTTGGGGTTTAAATTTTTAGAAAATATGTTTTGAAAATAGCATATAGATGTCATAGCATGAAGCGTGGGCATCATTAGAAGGGTTCTATGATGTATTAGGGAGACTTTGAATGCATGGCAGTGGAAATAAAAGGGTAAATAAACATTTTATGTTTCTTTCACAGTTGCCACATGTATTTAATTTGTATGCATATTGGGTGCAAAATTATGTTTTGATCCAACTGATATGGTAGTTCAACAGTTTCCTAGGAAGAGAGGTAAAATCTTAAATAATCTAATTAGTCTTTTAAATTTTAAATAGGAAACAGTGGGGGGTGATTTGAGCTGTTTTTTCTCGTATCTAATAATCTAAAGTGCTTCAATGGGTTTGAGCAGCTTGCAGTGGTGGTCATTTGAGCTGCTTGTTTTCATGTCTGGCCTTCTACCTAATCCGAAGCTTGAAACTTCCATTCTTTCGATAAGGTAAAAATCTATCGTCACTCCCTAAAAACAGTAAATTTTCATCTAGTATCTGATTAGTGACTAAATAAGAAAAAAAATGAGCGGAGCAAAAGGAAAGCAAAAAAAAAACAGAAGTTATTGTCTTGTTTAAAACATTTAATTCTCCTCTTTTTGGCCTAATTAAGACCTCGATCGTTGCTGTCTAACACCCAATTTGTAATTCATCTAGCTTAAATACAAGTTCATTCATCTACATGATCCCCTACGGTCTCAGCGGTGCAATAAGGTACATCAGTCAAATTCAGAGATTTCTCCAACACCCTCTGCTCCATGTTTCAATTGGGGTCACCATCATTCTTCTGAATTTTCATGTTCATCTTATTTATTTTTTCTTGCAATCTGTATTACTATTATCTCAATAGATTTTCTTCCGTTCTCTGTAACTATTTCTCCTGTTGTTTCAGTACAAGGGTTTCCAACGAGTTGGGTGCTGGGCGACCACAAGTTGCACGCTTTGCAGTGGGAGTCGCCGTCCAAATGGCTCTTGCAATGAGCATCTTGGTGGCAGTGACCCTCATTCTTTTGAGGCATGTACTGGGTCAAGCATACAGTAAAGAAGAAGAGGTTGTAGACTATATGTCTCAGATGATACCATTGCTTGCAACCTCTGTTTCTTTCGATGGAGTGAATTGTGTCCTTTCAGGTAAGATGAATCTTGGCTTCTACAGAATGATGTTTTCTCTTTCACGTTTTGTTTAATTTCAAATTAGATCGACTAACTTATGGATCACCTTAACTGGTTAGGTAATGGCCCCTCCTGAATTTATTTTTCTTACATGAGCATTTACCAAGATAAGTTTTACCATCTCTGCTAGAAGTAAGAAATTTTGGGACATTAGACTTATGCAACATCTTTGAAGTTATTAAATGTTTCTAGCTTTCTAATATCAGAGTCATAAGGCTCATAACAAGAAGTACAATTGAGAATAGGTATCGAGTTCCTATGATGCTGTTTAGGGGTGGCGGTTGGTTGGACCGAGGTTGGGGCAGTACTTGTCCGAGCCTGGCTTGGGACAGTAGAGGCCTGGCCTGGGCTGCACCTGGCCAAAGGGACCCTCAACTCCCTGGCCCTATTAATGGGTTGGGTTGGGCCGGGCCAGTAAAAATTATTCCTATGGGAGAAAACGTAGAAATACGAATCAGACTTACTAATTGATGAGATTTTCCTTTTCCACTTTCCTCTTAAATTTCAGGCACTGCAAGAGGGTGTGGTTGGCAGGAGCTTGGGGCATTTGTTAATCTTGGGGCTTATTACATTGTGGGTATTCCTGCTGCCATTGCTTTGGCATTTGTACTCCACATGGGTGGGAAGGTGAGCACCCCCATTTCTCTTTTCATTTTTATTTTATTTTCTTGGCAAACATATTCTTCATCCCCCTATTTTGTAAATTTGGGTACTCCATTGACAATTCACAATAGGGGTGGCAACATTGTGATGGCAACAGGCAAGGCCTGGGCTTGGCCAACCTTGGTTCTAGTCCTGCCCAATAGGTCTGACGTAAGCCGGGCTAGGATTTCAAAAACAAATAAAAGAAAAACATTTAAGAAAAAAAGGTTCAGGCTGTGTGCCCGGCCCTAGCCCAGTCCTTGGGCTACATTTTGTGGCCCAAGCCCTAGCTTTTTAGGATCAGACCAGGCCAACCGAGAACTAATTGATCACACTACAAATTCCTTGAAAAGATACACATAATTTTAAGAGATACACAAATGTGAAATCAAATGGCTAAGAGTGTGTCAAAGTTCAATTTGCACCTTTGGACATGGTCGAAATGAGTCCCCCTCAAACAATAGGCTTTTAGGAATTCAAAATGATGTTTTTGTTTTTTTAACATTGTTCATTTAATGATAATAATGCTATTTAATAATTTTGAAAAGGGAAAAATCTTTGTAAGATCTAAATTTGAGCATCTTATCAAAATGGACGGCCTATATTAATTGAGCTAGAAAAATACTTTGTAGGCTGTGTTTTTAGATTTTGTTTTTCTTTGATTGTTCACTCGAATGAAAAGAGCGTATATTTAAAAAGTAGGGTTAAACAAATGGTCTTAACGTAATTTTTGAAGATTGTTTCATTATATTACTATACAACCATTCCATGAAATCACTCCCCATATAAAAAATTAAAAAATGTTGTTCAAGTGGTAGTTTGATCCGTCAACCTCGTATAAAGTGGCTACACCATCCAATCAAGATGACCCTTAAATCTGTCTATAAGAAATGAAGATGTTATATATGACTTTTTTTGTTTTGTTTGTCTTTTAAATTTTTTAAAATCCAACTGAATTTGGTCGAGTTACTTAAACTTGCCCGAGTAACTCCCCTCGGCCAAAAGGCGGGTATCTTGGCGAGTCCTGGCACCTTGACACTTGATATACATAATATTCTCAATATACCATTTACAAATAGGATGCATGCAAGAATATAAGATTCAATGTATCATTAGTATGTATTAAAAAAACTCTTCTAACGGTCAATGCAAATATCACTTTGAGATCTTTCCTAATTGGATGGGTGTATCGAATATTGTTGCTTCTTCTAGGGGCTATGGATGGGTATTACATGCGGGCTTCTAGTGCAAATGGTTGTTTTTGTCAGTATCACCTTGTGCACTGACTGGGAACAACAAGTAAGTAATTCAGTGCTCTACATATTTTTCATGTTCCTAATTATCCAATTTGCATATAAGCTTATAATTGCTCAGTTTTTGGAAAAGTTTTTCATAAAGCAAAGCATAGGGTTTCTTAAGTTCAAAACTTTTGAGAACTTCTAGGAGAAGAAGGGCACATGCAAGCAATCCATTTTTGTCATTCGATTGAAGTGTTAAAAAACATAAAATTTATATTTTTTCTTTAAAAATAATAATTTATTGATTAGTTCGTGGTTCCCAAAATTTTAGATTAAAAAAATTCTCCCAAATAGGTGTTTTACCTAAAGGAGTAAGTATATAGTATTGATCCCACATGAGCATAATATAGGCACTCTATTTATATGAACTAGAATAGTTCTCTGGTTTAAGTTGTGAATTGACACTGACACAGGCACAAAAAGCTCGAGAAAGAATTTATAATTTGACCTTGCCCTTAGACATGGTCTTATCAGAGGACCACACAATGTGAATATTAATCGTGGCTGCATTGGAGAGTGGCTTGGGCTTTGGCGGTAGTATTACTGAGCCCTATGGTAAGGTCTCTGACTTCATTCTCACCAAAAGATAGGGCTCCAAATCCCCACTGACTTACCACTTTATTTACCCAAAAAAAATTATGATTGCATTGCTTTGATGATACGCCTCCACTGGCAGACTATCATAGTGGCTCATAGAAGTTTTTATGCAGAAGGCCCATATTGTGTAAATTATTTTTAAAAAAGAGTTCACGTTGACATAATGGCCCACATGTAAGACGACAAAGACAAAATTTCATGTAAGGCTAACAAAAGTAATATTATGGTATTCTATAATGTTCATTTTAGTTGTGTGGAGTAGATTTGATATGTCTTTTTAAATAGTATCAAATTGACAATATTTAAAAAAGACATGTTAAATATATATTATCTAATGTAAAATAGACAGTATACTAATACCGCATTCTTTTTTCTATAAGTCAAAATTCACCTTATATAAACTACAAAAGTTTGGCCATTGTGACTTTTAATATTCAAATATTTTTATTGCTTTTTAGTTCATCTTTTATAAGTTAGAATGCTTTGCTTCAATGTTTCAATGTTATATTTTTTTGAAATGTCAATCGAATCAAGCTATATGTACCAAAACAAGGAAGAGAGAATAAAGCATACTAAGATCCCCATCTTGGGCACTTCAAATTGTGCTGAAATATTTGTGCATGGACTCCTATTATAAAAAGAAAGAAAGAAAGATTGGGGTACAAACATAAGAAATTAAACACTCGGGGAATTATGCTATTTTAGGCCTTCCTAGACCTGGATCATCCCCCACATATTCTACCTTCCTCTCCCATACAATGTTTTAAATTCAGGAACAAATTTCTCATCTGACCGGTTTGAATCGGTGATTCCTGATTTAGATTGAGGTATAGACATAACATAAAACAAAAGAAATAAAAAACGATAGGAATTAGGCAATTTTGAGCTTCCCTAGACCTAGATCACCCCCCACTGACTTTGATTCGATGCATGCAATTCTGATTCGAACCAATTCAAGACACTGATCTCATAGAACCACCTATTTTGATCTAATTCAAAGATGATCCCTAAGAAAAAGGGATCATTTCTCTCTAGCATAAAATACAATCCACCTAAATCAAACTGGTCTCACTCTACACTCACCTAGTCTTGGAAAACCAGCATTCTATTAATACAATATATTATAATATTTTTTATTTATAGTATAAGAAGGCTAGTCATTGTGAATGTGAAATCAGCTCGCTAGAAGGCTCACAAAGTTCTAGTTTTTTTTTTATTTTATTTTTTAAATTTTTTTATGATTTTTTAATGTGGTCAGCGGCACATCTCCAAAAATATAATTTCATATCTAATAACTAAAGATGATTATGACCTTCTTGTACCAAAACTAAACAGCCTTATTGTATACATTTTGGTCCTTAATTATATTGACGTTTTCTATGTGTTCAAGATCTAAATATTGAAATAAAAGTTTGGTCCCTGGGGAAGTTAAGCCCACACTGATTCAATATGGTAATGGCGGTACATCAGGGTTTAAAATAAAACATAATAATCATTTAAAAAATATATAACACGGGTCATAATAATAAATAGGAAATTTAACAAATTATACACGAGAGATGAACAATCAGTGAATGATCTTCAAAAACTACGATGCATTTTTTTCCTTCAATATTGGACTTCAATTGTCTATTCATGAACAATTATGGTGTATTGAAGCAGCCCATTAAAACCATAATCAAGTTTAACCTAATAGGAATAAGTCCCAAATAAGCCATAATCAAATTTAACCTAATCGGAATAATTCCCAAATAAAGCCTTTTTGCCTAAAATGAATAGGGTAATAGAGCTCATTTTAGTTGTTTAATCTTCCTTAGGGTGACATAATGTCTAGTATTAAAAGCTACACATTTGGAAAATGAATAGAGTTTTCTCCTTGAAGAAATGAAGTTTCATAGGTTGTCAGTGTTTGAACAAACTTGTACACCCTTTTTCATGTTTTTATTGGCTTTTCCTAGTTAACAGAGATAATCTATGGAGCTGGACTATATGCATGGAGGATGTTGGTTTTATAAGGGCAAACCTTTAGAGAAAAAGTAAAGCCTCATCTCATACCTTTCTTGTGAAATGTAGCTTAAGTGTCGAAAAGCCGCAAACGAAGTTCCAGGTAGAAAAATTTCTCGGCCTAAAAAATATGCCTATGTCACAGGTTTTGGGGTAAAAACTCCTATGATAACCTAAAGATACACCTTTATACCACGTTCTGAGGTAAATAAACTCTTGTGACAGCCTGAAAATATACCTTTGTTTCTAATCAGAGCTTAAAAGAAAAAAAATGGCAGCAAACACTTAAAACATGGTCTTGAAAAAAGGCGAGTGAGGCGAGTTGGGTGTAGAATAATTTTATAAACGATATGTATACTTATACATCATATTTAGATCACATATCTTGTTGGTCGTATTTAAGTCACATAACTTGTTAGCGTTCACGCGGCCATTAGGAATCGAACCCGCAACCAACATGGTTTTATATTTAAGTCACATATCTTGTTGTCATATTTAAGTCACATATCTTGTTAGTGCTCAAGTGGCCATTAGGAATCGAACCTGCAACCAACATGATTTTAAAAAGGCAAGTTTAAAGCGAGTCGGGTGTACAACAAATTTATAAACATTAAGAATGGAATCCATAACCAACATGGTTTTGAAAAAGACGAGCGAGTTTAAGGTGAGGTGGGTGTACAACAATTTTATAAATATTAGGAATTGAACTCACAACTATCTTGTAGTCATATTTAAGTCACAGATCTTGTCAGTGCTCACACGGTCATTAGGAATCGAACCCGCGACCAACATGGTTTTTAAAGGCGAGTTGGGTGTACAACAAATTTATAAACATTAGGAATCGAATCCGCAACCAACGTGGTTTTGAAAAAGGCCAGCGAGTTTAAGGTGAGTTGGGTGTACAACAATTTTATAAATATTAGGAATCGAACCCGCAACTATCTTGTAGTCATATTTAAGTCACATATCTTGTTAGTGCTCACACGGTCATTTGGAATCGAACCCGCAACCAACATGGTTTTGAAAGGCGAGTTGGGTGTACAACAATTTTGTAAACATTGGGAATCGAACCTACGAGCAACATGGTTTAAAAGGCGAGTTGGGTGTGTACAACAATTTAATTATATAAACATTAGGAATCGAACCCGCAACCAACATGGTTTATGAGTTTAAGGCGACTTGGGTGCACAACAATTTTATAAATTTTAGGAATCGAACAGGCAACTATCTTGTTGTCATATTTAAGTCGTATATCTTGTTAGTGCTCATGTGGCCATTAGGAATCGAATCCGCAACCAGCATGGTTTTGAAAGGCGAGTTGGGTGTTCAACAATTTTATAAATATTAGGAATCGAACCCGCAACCAAC